ATTTCCGAGCCCTGCTGATCCACTACATCCAGGACAGCGGCCGCCACAGCACCGCCTCGCTCGACATCGTCACCTCGGAGGCCTTCTCCGTCATCCTGGATTTCCTTTACTCCGGGAAGCTGGATCTCTGCGGGGAGAACGTCATCGAGGTGATGTCTGCGGCTAGCTATTTGCAGATGACCGACGTGGTCAACTTCTGCAAGACGTACATAAGGTCATCGCTGGATATTTGCAGGAAGATAGAGCGAGAAGCGGCTTTCTATCAGGCTGATAGCGGGAGCGCTGCGAGGGAGGGCCCCTCGTACGGCGCCAAGAGCCAGTGCTCTGCCTCCGGCTCGTCCCCGCAGGAGAAGGAGCGGGTCTCGGATTGCCAGCGGGACCCTCCCTGCGGGGCGTGCAGCAGCTGCCATCCCCTGGAGCTGGTGGTCAGGGACCCTGTGAGCAGCGACTCCCCTGACGACGTTAATTCCTCCCTGCCCAAGGGGGTGGAACCCAAAGTAGAGTTTGACTCGGATGAAGTCGAGGTGGAGGTGGGCGAACGGCTGGCGCGGGACCCGACCCCGATGTCGGTCGGCGCGACCCCTCGAGCAGATGGAAGAGGGGCTGCACGGCGGGCAGGCGATGGACCTGGCCTGCAATAACTACCACATGAAACAATTCCTGGAGGCCCTGTTGCGCAACAGCTCGGCACAGAGAAAGGATGATGTGGTTCATCACTTTGTCCGGGGCTTTGAGGGTAGGCCGGAGGACGCAGGGGTAGCCATGAGTTCCATGATGGACATTCACAGCGACTGGTATGGTGAGGACGCAGGTGAGAGGACCCCGGGAGGGCGCAGTCTGTGTAATCGAGGTGGAAAGTGCGTAGTTGTGCGACTTCCTTTGTTACTCGAGTTCCTGTTCAGGAATATATTGCTGAATATTATGCCGTAGCAAAATAAACTATTGTTCTGGACTTCAAGCTGTACTCATTTATTCAGTGCAGCGCTTGGGAGGTAAGTATTTCTAGCAGCTTTTACTGAAACATCCTGGAGCTTGCTGCGGGTGATGCTGCTATAATAAACGATCTCATCTGGGACCTTGTTGCATGGCAGGTGAATTTTTAAAACTAATCTTCCTCTCATAATGTTAGCATTACAAAGAGCAGCCGGAAAGATAAGTTGAGCTGCTGCAAGAGGGATCTGCTGGAGAACCTGACAGAGCAGAAGGAGCTCATTCTGCTGGAGCTCCTGCCAGCGCATCGGTTGCTGGATGATAGTCTGTGTGCTGTTACTTTGAACTTCAAAAGGGCAGAAATCGGTTTTGTTCAATACTGAGCGATACCTAGAAATTCTTTAAAGAGCACTGAAAGCTTTAAACTCTGTGATATTGCATAGAGACAAGTCTTAACTTTTACTTCTGGAGGCAGACGCGCTTTGCAGCTGCTGGTCACCCAGGTTCCACTGCTTTCCCAAGCCCAGCGCCTGTTGGGATGTCTCCCG